AAGTTTCAACAAGAGGCAAGTGAGATTTCATGTGCTGTTGTACGTGTTGCAGGAACGTATGAACGAGTCGAGGAGGTATCGATGTGAATGGTTCCTCTCTAAATAATAAATTAAGTGAATGATTGACAGCTTTTTTTGTCTTTTTGGGCTGTCCTAGTCGCGAGGACGCATACAGTGTCACCCGCGGCCTCCAACCACAGCACACAGTACGGAACAATCGGTCTTCGGTGCACGAAACCCAACGGTTTTCACGAAATTGCAGGTGCTCCGTCGATTGTGTACGGATATCCGTGCGGTTTCGACGTTTTTTTCCGACGGAAAACCGTGCTCAAAGCCACGGTTTCGCGCGGTTTTTGCTACGGAGTAAAGGAACCGCTCCGTACAAAAAACCGCACTACGGATAAACCGCTCCGCTCCGCTCCGTGGCATGAAAAAAAAAACCGCTCCGCTCCGTGAGGCTTTTGGCTTCGGATAAACCGCTCCGCACCGCTCCGTGATAGTTTCAAATGAAAAAAACCGCTCCGCTCCGCTCCGTGGAACTTCAAAGAAAAAAAAAACCGCTCCGCGGAGCGATTCTACTCCGTGTACAACCCTGAAAATTTTGGGGCACGTGTTTATTTTTATTGTCCCGCCCCAAAACTGTCAGACAATCGTTGGAACTGTATACTTCAAAAGTATTCCTCTACCCGATAGACATGCATGTCATGTCACAACACGACGCTGTTCTTCAGGCAGAAAGGCAGAGGCACGAATGCCGCCGCTGTTGTTGTAGGACTTCCAGTCAGGGCTGATCCTGATGGTTCCGAGAAATGGCAGACCGGTGTGCACCCGTTGAACTAGAGTCCCGCGTTGTTCCGTGACCTGCGGATACGGATGGTTTTTGACGGTTTCGAGCAAATGCCCCGAGCCCGGTTTGCGTCCGTTGAGTTCATTCAGAATAAAGAGCTTTGTTCACACAGCGGGACCGTTTCACCATGCTCGTGCTCGAGCGTCCCACGGCTTGCGTATTTGCCTCACGCCACTGTAGGTCAAACATCGAAATCCGGGGCGGCCTGCACTTTTTCCTTGGTGTTGTACCATGATCTGATATATGGCTTCTTCGCAGGCTCGAGGTGCAACCACACACCAAAAGCCGGGGAGTAAAGGTGCGACTTTTCAAGTGTCGTCCCCCGAACACCCCTGCCTGCCTCGTGAACCTGAGCGACGCGATAACGTGTGTTTTACCGACATTCATTCCTATTGCATAACCCTCGTTGCCCCGATCCAAACCAACGGCCACTGGACTACACGGCGAACGCCGGCACGTTTCCCATACCAGACGTTCGCTGATATGTACCGAGATCTAAGTCAAGCTGCTGGTGGTGGTCTACATCCTTACCAAGTCCCACAGCGAGTCCCTGATGTATATAGCTCAAGGCTCACACAAGCTCTCGAGGGTACCAAGCCCCGCAAGCGCATCCTATGCCGATATGACGTGCGTGCGTTAACTACCTCCGCTGCCAAGCAGCAGCCTACCAGTGTGCGGAACGCGGCGAGCTTCTTGTGACCTCGGTATGCGCCAACCAAAACGAAAGTGGCCTACAAACAGAGGCGTCGGCTTAAAACCTTTTTACATTCTCGAAACGAGAGCTTCAGAGCCACGGGACACTGCCGGATGGATCTGTCTGCTAATCAAGCTGCTTTCCCCCGACCGGCTTTGTTGGGGCTGCGACGCTCCAACCCTTGACCGTAATCTGCCCCGTCGAAACAACAACTTTTTTGCACGGAGAGGACGCACGTTTCAGAGCTCTCAACACGTGTGCAACCATGTGGTGCATGAGATCACGATAGCCAGCACCTCTTCCAGCAATACAACACACAGAGGGGAAAATATCACACTTTAATTAAGCCCCAAATGCATCACGACTGAGGTCTCGTTGTCTTCCATGGGAAACGTTCTATCGCCAAGGTGCACGGCAGGCCGGAAGGGCTGGGCGTGAATCAATCACAGCTCGTTCGGGAAGGTGATGATGGCCGGGTCGTCCAGGATCCCGGGGTTTATCCGGACGAATCCCGCAATGGCCACTGTTGTTGTTGTTGTTGTTGTTGTTGTTGTTGTTGTTGTTGTCGCCGTTGTCGTTGTCGTTGTCGGTCGTCGTTGTGGTAGTGTCGTCGTCGTCGTTGTTGAGTAGCAAGCAGCACGAGGACAATTGCGAGCGCGCGAGCAGGGATGTACAGCAAAACGGTTGGACACCGTGTGGGCAGGGGGAGAAGATAGCGTAACGCCCAGACGTCGTCTCGGCTGCGAAATAGCACAAGGATGCAAGGCAGAGAGACCCTCTCTCGGGTACAAGAAAGGTGCAGCCAAATGCTTGTAATGCGGCGATCCAAGTCATCAGGAGAAAAAAAACGGCGCTTCTGTTCACACATGCAATAGTTTGGCGTTTCAACACAGTAGTAGAGGTAGTCACGACGAAACAACCTCATCGTCTACTGCCCGCGCCATTGACATTATTTCGCCGCACCAATTGATGCAGCAGTACTAGTGGTTGAGTGATTCGGGTGGTAACCTCAAGAACCTTCCGACCTTTGGGACATGAGTCCGAATCTCGGCTAAATCACACGGACTCGGAATTTTCTCACCATATGTAGAATGTAGATGTATGCAAGGCCCCACTATGTATGTGGAGAGCGAACATTTCGTCTCTACGCAACAGAGTCGACTTAACGCTCGACGAGGGAAAGGAACGGGTTGGATCCTTCTCGCCACCGAAATGAAGGCAAGTGGTATGCCGCAAATGGAAGATGGGCGAGCAAACAAAAAAAAATGCTGCGTCGTCTTCCTCTTGGGTGGCTCCCGGTATGATGCGTCCAAAACAGTATCCCCAAAGGTGCAACGACTGGCCGAGATCAAGAATAGATGGGACAAACACACACACACATACATACAGCAATACTGCCTGATAGCATCGAGTCTTCTCCTTGCACAGAAGTAGGACACTGCACGACTGTCGTTCTACTCCGGCGTCCCCCCTGTCGGAATAGAACCCCTAGGACTAGAGACAGCTTGTTCGCGGTTTTTATCCCGCTACAAGACTGTCGACGTCGTCTTTTCATTGGCTGGCGCCGTCGACGCAAATTCAAAAAAGCACACACACACAAATTGGAAAGTGTTTTGTGTTTTCAACCGCACCGAGACTGACGTCTTTTCATTGGTCAGCCGGTTAGTGCGGTCGATGAAGTAATAAATAAAGCAGACACCGTCGTGCGCGTTTGCTCCCGCACATTTTTTAATCTGTCAAGCCGCTTAGATGAAGGTTCGAAAGACACGCAAGGCACACCTATAGCGAGGGAGATGGCGAGGATCCAGTTCTGCTTGTAGGGGTTGACTATCTCCGCCTTCATCTTGGACTGCGCGAACTGGTCCGGAGCGGGAGCTTTCGCCTTCGCCTCCCGTATCGCCTTCTTTCGGTCAACCTGCGCACACACACGCGAGGGGGGGG